GTAACTTAGTGACCTTGAGCAAGTTATTGTTAGCTTGTGGTGCTGGCTTTTCTCATCTGTAAAATCAAGACAAAATGTCTATTTTATAAAGTTCTCATGAGGATTGAATGAATAAAAGTTATAAGGAGAACATCTGGCCTTTAATAATAGAAACTTTAGTAGTAGGAAGAAGGTATATTGGGTCTAATAGACTAGCATATGAATGGTTTGATTGTCTGCAGTATTAAAAGTGTAAATGAGTTCATTGAAAAGTAATAATGGAATAGAATTCATAGAAATCTAACAGAGGAATACATGCAACCTGGTGAGTTTCCAAGGCAAGCAAATGTTTATGCACCTGTAAGGATTTAACTCTATATTATCTTGCTGCTAATACTGAAAAGCAAACAAGTTTGAAGCACCTGGGTTCTAATCTCAAACTTTCCCAGTATAGTCCTCAGGACAAAAAGTTACCTGGGCCCTTACCTTGCCACTGTCGTTCTTGACTGGTTTAGAAACAGGTGTTAATTGCATGTTCTTCCTGGCAACTCTCTACTTTTATCTCACTGATCATGTTACTTCGGTGCTGCGATCCATGGTCTTCGCAATGCTGCACGAGAGCCTGTGTTGTCCATATATAAATATGCAAATCATTTGATCATTTATGTTTTCAAAATCTGAATGCTCCGTTGCAAATCCCCAGTCTGCTATATTCTACCACACTTGTGTCACAGATATCTTTATTTTAGATAAAGGAAGAAAGTCAGCTGATGAAGTCTTCCCCTGCCCAATTGTCCCCACCTCTCTACAATGAGTTAGGTTTCTATGTTGGTAGACCTCTAACACCTCTCTTGCTAACATTCACCATCCTTAACTTCCACTCCAAATTAAGAATTTCTTATTCCACATGAAACATCAATTCTGTTCTTAAGGTTTTTGACTGATTGAATTAGACACATCAGATAATTTAGGATAATAGTTTCCTATAGTTAAAGTCATCGATTGCAGATGATAATCACATCTCCAAAATACCTTCAGAGCAACACATAGATTAGTAATTAATTAAATAACTGGGGACTATAGCCTACCCATGCTGACACCCTGACATCACAAGATTTGAACCATGTTAACTTTGATATAGATTATTATATAAAATATGATAACATGTTATTTTTAATCTAGGAGGAGAAAAAATAATGTTTGAGAATGTTTTGATGGTTGTAGAAATATTTACCTATAATTATTTAGAGAGAGAGAGAGAGAGAAAAGAAAACAACTCCATAATCAATCTTCTTTCTTAAATCAAAAAACCCATGTGTTAAGTGGTTACTGTTAATGTGTTATGCTAAGCACTGTGGTTGACATGGAGATGACTTTTTATATAATACTTGCCTTGCAGTGTTAACATACTGAGAGGCAGAGACATGTGGCAAAGATCCACATGCTGGTTTGTATGTATGTAGGAATCTTGAACAAAAGAAAAAAGAGAACAAATGAGTTCCTACAATATCCTAGCTAATTGAAAAAGAGGTGAATAAGGGAGATAAAGTCCCTCTCCCAAAAGAGTATATAATCCAAAAGGAATTGCATTGGAACTTAAAATTATTCATTCCACTCATATTTCCTTTATTTGAGTCTCTCAATTTGCCAATCTCCTTTCCCTATCAGTATAGTTTTTACAAGGCATCCCTTTCCCCAGAAATATCTCTTATCTCCTCTTAGTTACCCACCTATTTACCAGATTTCAACTCAAGTATTATTTCCTCAAAGATTTCCCTGACCTCCCTGATTAGGCTGAAGTCTCTTAGACACTTTTAGTACTATTATTTAACATTTTTGCTCTTATCTTTATTTTAATTTTCCATTTGTTTTTTGAATGCTTGATTAACAACTGGTTACCAGGTAGAAAGGAAATACTGCAAAGTTAGGGACCATACTTGTTTTATTTTATTTATCAGTTCAAAGTTCAAACAAAGTTCAATGTGGGACTTAAAGCAGATCTTCAATTAATTTTTTTCATTAAGTGAATACTATTCCTTATCACATAACAAGAGGCTCTTACAGGAATGAATAAAACCAAGATTTATTCCTATATCTTAATTGACAGGAATTTCTATCTGAAAGAAGTGAATACTTTGTGATCTGGTTATAGATTCATGATGCATTCCATTCAATGTATTTGATGTGTACAAAACAAATTAAAGTGCTCTCATATTTATATTTATAGCATCATTTTCTCAAAGTGTGGATTACAAAGTATGTATAAAGTGGGTTGTTTATAAAGAAATGCCTGGCTAGCTAGAGCAGAAAAGTTGGAAATATTTGGTTTCTAAGTTGGCTTTTCCACGTGTTCCACTTGCTGTTTCCCACCCGCATTGCTCTAACTTTGGGGCCATTTGGCTCTCATTAGCACAGAATTTTCTCACATAAAAAAAGCATAGGCAAAAATAGCATCACTCAAGTTATAGACTTAGTGACAAGTCCTTTTGTCACAAGGTATAAATATAAAACCAAAATCTTTTTACAGTAGCCCCTTTTCATTCTATTTTTGTAATTTTTGATTTATCTTAATAATCTAGGAAAAAATCTTACCTGTAAGTTAACTATAAAAAATATTACCATGAATGAGTTTATAACAGGAAAGTCCTATCTGTGTCCAGTGAGTTTAAGTTCATTATTTGTGAGGGAAGGAGTAGAATTAAGATGATGCACTGATTTATAACTATGTTTCATAATAACTATTAATATAATTTATAGTATTCCCCTTTTTGTGCTTGAAACCATTTTTAAAAATATATTAAATAACATATTGATTACTATTAACACAAAATATTTAAGCAGCTTGGTTTATTGTCTTTTCTTTTTTAAAAATTTTTTGCTGTATTTTCCTCAATGAATAACTTTGAGCTGTAATGCTAATAAGTGGACAAAATGTTTTTTCTTGGTTTTATATATAAATTTAAACTGCTATATATAGTAGCTTAAAGGCTAAAACTCTTAAGGAAACACTTGATATAAATTGAAATAATCTCAAGGATGCATATCATTGTAATCTCACTTTACAAGACTCATGTGAAACTATTCCCCTGGGATGATTTCTAAAATGGAATTTTCCAATACTGTTAATGCACATATGAATATATGAAGAAAATAAATACTAAACTTTTTTGTTGTTATTGTTGTCACATATGATGGTTGTACCCATGAAATACTTATATCCATAGGGGTATTTATTCCTGTATTGTTTACTCATTGAATTTCACTAATATTTATTACTACAGGAAATTATTGGGATTATATTTTCATGATGAGTCTGGAAAGGTAATCTGGCATAAACTCCTGTTCACTGCATTGTCTAAACCATTTCTGTGAAGAAAATTAGGTGATTAGGATAGGGTGAGCTGCTGTTCAGATGATTTTCTCTTCATGAATATTAACTGTCAGATTATAAATTAATTTTTTCCAGTATGCCTGGAGAAAACACAGTATTCTGTCTGGTGAGGGTGGGAAATTTCAACTCAAAACAATCACCCTTTCTGTCACCCTTTATGGAACCTAAAGCTACACTTTTGTGCTTGCATGCACTTAGCCTGGAATGTACTATACCATAGAACCATCATCACTTTGGCAACAAAAATAGCATGATTATAGTAACTAGTTTTTAAGCATTTAGCAATGTTGAGCACTTGCAAAATGCTTTGCATTAATCATTTCTTAGTAATCATTTGTTGAAGGCTTATACTTCTTTCGTGAATTCAGAAACTGAGGTTTATTGAAAGAAGTCAGTTGCCTGTGATGGACAGTGGAGTAGAGATTCAAGTCTAATTTTATCTGTTTACAAAACCATAGTAAATCTTAACAATTATGTTCTTCCCACTGAGGCTAATATCATATAATAATTACCTGACCTCACACCAAGATCAGGGAATAAAACTGGTACTCTTTCAAGCATAGAAAGTAGGAAAGAAAAATCTAGAGCTTGGGAACTTCTGAGAAATATGGGCTCAATTAGGACATAAAAGTCAGCTTTTCCAAGCAGCCAGGAGTATGCAAGAAGCAATTTTACCTCCGTGCTAATTATTTTGCCTCACAAAAATTATTTCTGAATCTTTAAATGCTAGATTTAAAAAGCATTGTCACTGATATATAAGGTTTCCAGTTTTTGAAATTGCTTTTGTATTTTAATTCACTGGATTTCTGTTGCTTCTTTTTGTTATAAATCCATATGTGTGCTATACTTGAAATAAAAGTGCATTATAATCTTATCAAAACACCCTATTTGGCATTTTTTGAGTGTGTATCACTGAAGACTAAGGAGTTACAGCCTTCAGGCAGTTTGTGCTGAATAATTTTGTTCCTGTTAAATACAAATCAACCTTCCAGTTATTCATTGTTGAACTAAATATTCGCAATTAAGATTTATTGCTTAGTCTTGAATACATTAAGTGCTTAGAGGAGTTTGCGTAACAGAGGATTTTAATTGACTACTTAAAGCCATTTTCATGTTTAAAATGTTTACATATTATGAATTTTATCCTTTAAGCCTCATAAAGCAATGTGGCCTGTCAATCAGTATTACCTTACATGGTTTTTCTTAAGAATCTTCTGTCCTATATATTTTATTTCCTGGATGTTTTCCCTTTATTTTTAATGCAATCATAACTAAAAATCATTTGTTTATTCAACCTTCAAGTACACCTTCTTGAAAGCTACAAAACATTTTTTATCATTTAATAATTTTAACACATATGCTATGCAATACAGATTTTGAAATCTCTGCATGGATAGCATTCGTAAGCACTTTTCACCACATCGAAAGAATTCAAAGGTCCTCATTTAAAAATATAAGATTAAAAAAAAATCCTTGGGTGTGTTTTCTTGCTTAATAATGCAGTTATATTATTTATACATATGCATTATTCACCACAATCACTTTTATTATATATGAAGCACAATAAATATACAAGGCTGTACAACCCAAAAGAAATGTTAACAATAAGTTTTTAAAAGACCAGAGGAGGATACTTACCTGGCAAGGGAGATACCATGATCGTGAAGGTAGTTTTCCCAGGTCGAGGCTTGTCCATTGCACTCTGGATGTACTGACCCCTGTGATTTCCCCAAATGTGGGAAACTCAACTGCATACTATGTGGTAGTGGGGGACTGCATTCACACTCTCTCCTAAAAAATATAAAATAAAATAAAAGACCAGAGGAATTGACAAAGCAATATTAAAAGTACACATGCATATGTACACAGATAATTTAAATTTATTACACTGTTTCATCTGATCATTTACTGATTCTTTCAAGTGTTAAGTGTTGATAAAAATTATTAAAGTATTTATGAAGTGTATATTAGGTACCAGATTCTGAAAATAAAACTTAGGACCTGTTTACAAGAAGCTCATGGACTAGTAAATGAAAAAGACACAGATAACTGCAAATCATTTAGTGAGAATTTTAGTTGAGTTAAGCAAAACCAAAACAATGTTGTTCATAAGTACTATCTTCAAGACTCTATTATGTTAACTTAAGTACTACAAAGGTAGAGAAAACAACTAATTCTTTGTGGGGAAGAAAAATAGAGAGAATAGTTCTAATCAAATTGGATTTATTCTAAAATTTCAACTATCTTTAAGGATAAACATACTTTAGTTTTAAAAAAACTGATAGGAGAGAGGGTTTTCCTTATTCTTAGCAGAAAGGGTAAAGAGGCATAATAAGAATAAAAATATGGTTTGTCTAGAAATCTGAATATTTCTGTGTGGCTAGGAAAAAATATATCTAACATAAGGGAATGTTTAACATTATATTGACAGGAACTATAATTTTAAAAATATTAAAATGCCACATTCCCTTGCTTTTAAAGATATTTTGTTCTTTTTTACCTATCAAGCAATCAAATATAGCTTTGGGAAATTATAAAACTATAAGAACTAAAGCTTTTTATATGATATTTTAGAACAAATCTCTTCTCAAGAAATAATCTGTTACTTGTCCTGGTTTTCCTCCATATTTGAATGTGCTGTTCTCACAAGGCACATAATTTTTGCCAGTTACCAAAAACTTGACAGTTAGGATAAATTTCCTTAGGTACAATTATTTATGTGCTAGAAAATGGATAATGAAATCTTAGCTTATGATAAGTAACAGGAACTGAGTTGACTAGCTCTGTAACTCTATGTGGTATTAATGACTTCTTAAAGCACAATGAATTAAGAAGGGTATTTCGAAAGAAGAATATAGATGAAGTTAAGATTAGGGCAGTATAGACACTTGCAAAAGAGGAAGAACAAAAACAATAACAAAAATCTTTTTTTCTCTATCTTCCTATGTTCTTTGGCTGGGACCCAAGAAATTAGACTGACAAAAGACAAATTAGAAAAAGAAAAACAGTGTTTATTAATACAAGTAACCTTGTATATACATGGGAGAAGATCATTGATGAGTAACTCAAAGAAGTGGTTAGAACTCAGGCTTATATAGCATCTTCACAAAGAACAATATATTTGTACAGAAGTGACAAGACAGAGGAAATATTTTAGACTGTAAAGGGAAACAAACTGTGGAAGATGAAACTGAAGTAAGCTAATGGAAGATAAGGGTTGTTTCAGTAACATCTGCTGTGTAGATTCTTTTCAGTGTCATCTCTGGGATGATCAGTCTAGACTAGTGTTAAAGAGTCTAGACCAGCTTTTAGGTAAATAGTGGGGAAGATCAGTGCTTTTATTTGGCATATACTATATCTCAAATGTTTTTGGCTTACAATAACCCTTCAGCCAAAATAGTATATTTTAGAGTGGTATATTCTGGTACTACATATACTCAGCTAGTTGTCAAATAGTAGGCTTTCTTTTTTAAAATAATATGTTTATTGAGATAAATTTAGATTCACCTGCCTTTATAAAAACTAATATAGATGCTCTAATGTATACTTTATCAAATTTTCCCCAATTGGAATATTATGTAAAAGAATAGTAAAATATTACAACCCAGATATTGACCTTATACAACCCACCAATCTTATTCAGATTTTGTTTTACTTGTACTCATCTGTATTTGTGTACTTATAAATATAAAATTTTATCATGTATATATTTCTATATTCATTACTTCAGTAAAGATACTGTGTAATTCTAATGCCATGTTTAGTTTTAATTCCATGTTGCATACTACATTGATTTAACTTTGAATCATTTAAAAAAGAAATTAGACAAATAAAATAAACTTTTCAGTCTTAATTGTAATAATACTTAAATCTTAAATGGATTTAATTTTTAGTAATATATGAATACTATATTTAGATTATATGTTTAAGAATATTATGTAGAAGTATCCTATCAATTGTGAATTATTTCTATTATGAGAGTAATTATATAATTTTAACAAATTACATTGTCTCAATTTTAAAAATTAGCCTATGTTAACTAAATGTTCAAATAAAATAAGAACTTTAGGGAAACTTTTGGCTTAAATTAAAAAGTGTTGGAATCAAAGCATATAAAATAACTGCATTATTACAGTAATAAGAGATAAACAGATTATTCTATTCATAAAGATTTTTCTATTTAAATTATTTTCCTTTGCTATATCTATTATATTATTGAATCTGGGTTTCCTCTTTTGATAAGCAGACATCTTAATTAATTTTTGCAGAATTAAGACCATATTACTAGTTGTATATTTTTCAGAAAGATCTTGCAGCCCTTTTGAATATTTTTTTTTATGTCAGTTATCCACTCTAAGTATCTTCTATACAGATACAATTATATTTTTTTGCATAGGTTCCAGGACATTTTTATCAACATGCTCATATTTTATTTGTTTTCTATTGATTAGCATTCTAAAATCATTCAGTAGTTTCAACTGCATCAAAATTACTATTAATCCACTGCTTAGTGAGTCATCTCTAGTGCAACAAAAATCTGATTCAGATATTATTCTAATAACTGGGTACTAATTAAATTTTCAGTGTCATTCAGACCTAAGTAGACCATGGCCAGGTTGTTCAGTTGATTGGAGCATCATACCATGCACCAAAAGGTAACATGTTCAATTTCTCATGAGGGCATAGGTTGTGGGTTCAATCTCCAGTCAGGGCACATATGGGAGGCAACCAATTATTTCTCACATCAATGTTTCTCTCTCACTTTCTCTCCTTTCTTCTCTCTCTAAAATCAATGAACATATCCTTGGGTAAGGATTTTTAAAAAGAACTAATTATATGATAATAGTAAAACCAAAAAATCTTATGATCTGAAAACATTTATATTAATAAACTTTACAAATATATAATTCTAAACATACTTAATACTTAGAAATTTAAAACATATTACCAGTTTCTTGAATTCATCATAAGATTTTTAAAATATTTCAATTCTATTTTATAAACTTGAGAATAAACACACTCAAGAACATTAAGTGGTTAAACTGATATATTTTCTAGGAGAGATGATATGTGTAGGTGACTAGGTGACATATCACATGCATATATAGGTTAATATGGAAACTTTAAGTATTTTTCTTGTGAACTATAAACCTTTTAATTCTAAAACATTCAATCTTAGTATTAATGTAAAAATATAAGCTGTACAATGTAGATTTATTCCTCTCTATTTTCACAGTGTCTGGGTATAAGTAGTATATTTTTTTAAAAAAAGTATGTTATGAAGGTAATTTAACTTTACTAGGCAGAACTCCTTTAAAACAACTTATAATTTTTGTAATGAGATAATTTAACTGACCCATTCATTCATTTGGTGTTTTTGTTTTTATTTTTGTTTTGCTCTAGGCATCATGCTAGACACTGAAGATAAAAAGCTCACTCACACAGCTCCTTCCCTCTAGGCACTCATAATCCAGAAACAAATGTGTTGAGTAGTAGACTCTGGGAAATTTGACTGTAATTTCCAGCTCTCTATGATAACTGCTTTACTTAGGGTAAGTTAGAGTCTAGAGACTGCAGGGTGTTAGGTAGATGAGAAAGTTCTGTAGTTGTGGACTAATTTGAAGTTAGACACATTCAGTTAGAATGAACTGTCCTTCCAAAAAGGGGTATCGGGATCTTAAATACATTCCCTAAGGAAGGCTAGGATAATACTGATATTAAAAATCAAGGTTAAAGACAATAATAGATTATTCTACTGAAGTCAGGAGTAAAATTAGTAGCATAAATGCAATTCTTTTACAATTGGTGGATATGGCTTATAATCAGATTCTTCAATTTCTTTGTAGCTAGAGCAAAGAGAGAAATATGATCAGTTACAATTTTATATTTTCCATATATAGGTTTTTCTGGCACTGAGCCCTGAAAGAAATTTCTCCCATAGGTCCTTATATAAAGAGGTCACTGTGTGATGTACAACTTTCAGATACTATGTCCTGGGAAGTATAACAGTGCTTTTCTTATGACTACGTCTTATAGCATCCTTCATTTAAACCAAGGGCACAATGCCAAAGCTCAATTCAGCAAGAGATTCAGAGATGGATAAAAACACAGCTATATAAAAATGTATATTGTTCTCTGGTGGTTGGGCTTGACTGAAAGATAAAATTTAAAATACCAAGAAGGATAGATAACTTTCCTAAATAAAATTCTTTATAAATGTATTTGTTAATTCAATTTTTGATGAAAATTTGGCAAAGAAATTTTGGGTCTTTAATATTGATATTTTGTATTATCAATAATATACAGTAAAGGTATTCTTTGATGCTGAATACAAATAGGATTATGTGCTTTAGATAGTCAACTAAGCAGAAAGTAAAGGAGACTCCCTCTGGAAATTAAGTGGTTTAAACCAGAATTTTTTACACTAGAAAAGATGCACAAAGGTACCTGCAGAATAACCAAATTTCTATCATAAAAAATAAATGGTGATTAAATTTTTAATCTGAAAATGACTATAAAAATATATGACCGTAGAATATGACTGTGATAGTCATGATTTGATTATTTTTTCATTGTGATTAAACACAATCACCCACAATGTTCTTAAAGAAAAAGAGAAGGAAGGAAAAAAGGAAGGGAAGGAGGGAGGGAGGGAGGAAAGGGAAAGGAAAAAGGAAAGGAAAAAGGAAACAAAAGGAAGAAAAGAAAAGAAAAGAAAGGAGAAAACTTGAAAATGTCTTCCTCAAAATATCTAATTTTATGCATTGTGATTTTCCTGGTGAAACTTCCAGACT